TTTTTTTTTTTTTTTTTTTTTTTTTTTTTTTTTTTTTTTTTTTTTTTTTTTTTTTTTTTGACTACATAGAAGGTGGAATAGCTGGCCCCCAAACATTTTTCATGAAGTCTGAAATTTAAGAAACACTGCTTTAAAATCATTCAAAGCCAGATATACACTCTTAATTAGAGGCAGAACACAGAGAAATGGCTAAAAAAGGGGACAGTGGAAACTTATTCAGCTGTGTGAATATCTATACATCGCATAACTGTTCACAAGCTCAGTTTTCTCTGCCATTTGTTAGAATAATAATAGTATCTGCTTAAATGGGTTGTTATATTATCTGAAATATTTCACATAAAACTTTGAACACAGAGAATCACATGTTCTCAGCAAATGTTATCTATGATCATCATTACCTTCATTTTCAAGGTTATATATAATCTGGTAATCTATGTAATACAATGTTGATACATTGTAGTACTAGAAGAAAAGATTTTAAACATAACAGCAAAAGCAAACAAAAACTGTTTTAACATTTCTATATATTCTAGATCTAACAGATGACCTTAACATGAACTATTCAAAGCTGAGTTTATAAAGGAAATTATCTCCTGCTATTGCCATATCTGGAAACTAGCCAAAGACAAGTTAACATTGCTACTAAGATCCTTTCACTACTACTTTTAAAAAGCCACTGTCTGTTAAAGAACAGATTATGCACGCATGAGTATACACAAGGATGTTTTCAAATGCTATATGAAGAAACTTCATATTCTCCAGGGGAAGTCAGACTCTAACAACTGCAATATTTAAAATGTTCATAAGCGGCTTTGCTAAGATTAGAACTAAATGGGGATCAGAAAATGTATCTATAAGGAATCCTAATCTGTAAAATAGCAAGTGCTAAAAACAAAGCTAGGGCTAAGCAAAAACCTAGGGATCTAAACACTTTGTTACACTCTATGAACTGTGTTTTCTTTAAAAATAATATCACCACTTTTTATAGTATTTTCATTTGTTCCATCCAACAACCCTGCAAATTATGTAGGAAAATTATTTTTGCAGATTTAAAAAGGCAAGGTTCTCAAAGTTCACATGATTTGTCAAAAACCACTGCTAGGAAGTGACAAATCAAGAATTTGAACCCAGGCTTTCTCACTTATATTTCAATGTTCTTTCCACTACTCCACAAAGCTACTTCTAAAGAAAGAGGCAAATTAGCATCTTCACAGAAAGAAACCTCTCCAAACCACAGACTTTTAACTAGCTGCAGACTAGCTGTATGCCATACACCTTACTAGGCCTTTATTTTCTCATCTGTAAATGAGGGAAAAACGAGAAAAATGGAGGTCCCTTCCAGTTCTAAGGATAAATCTCCATTCTTGTACTCTTTTCAGGGAACAGGCATTCTGCAAATACATGTTGTTGTTAGCAACAAATTCCAAGTCAGAAAGTATTGTCAATAGCTCTCAAGCAACCTACTGTAATTATTAAATTCTTCATGCCTATCTGATAAACGTTACTTCAATATCAAGTTTACATTCAGAAGTCATGTAAACCTCTTATGGACTACGATGGAAATGACTAATCTCACGAACCATTCTTTTTAGACTGAAGTAATGCCCTTAAAACACAAGAATGACTTAAAAAATTTTAACTACTGGTCAGCCAATACCAAGAATTTAAATAATATTCAATATTCTTCCTGTTTTTAGAATAAAAATCTCTTTCCCAAAGAAGTATTTTCCAAATATCTCAACTATCGTTTCTCCAATCTACGTCAGAGTAGCAGTCACATTTTCCAACAACTTTTATAAGGAGAAAAGTAACATCGGCATCTCGATAAAAACATCTTTCTTTTAAATTTATTCCACTGGTTAGAGACTCCTCTCCAAATAAAATGCAAGCTTTTTTCCTTGGATATTTTCAGCTACCAAGTTCTTTCCTCATCTGAATACTTTTGTTCTCTTTATTCCTCAAATATTCTTCATGGACTACACGCCTAGAGATTTCCATTCTCCCAGCTTTCTTAGTTCATAAAACGATTCTAACAACTACTAATTCTTAACAACTACTATGTAAACTCTGAGAGATTAAGACCATAAAGGCATCCTACTTTTTGCTCTAATTTTCCTTCTATGAATATTCTTAACACTCTGGTTTTCCTTCATTTTAACACTTTGCCTATCTCTAAAATGGAACACATACTCTATGGAATAGTTAAGCTTGATCTTAGTGAAACAGTCTGCAGAGCTTTAGAAATTTAGTTTTTGTTCTCAACTATAAAAAATCCTTAAGTAATAAAACCTTTCTCCCCTTGTTTATAATCGCCGAGGGAAACATTTCAAATCTTATATGTTTTTGCTTTTAACCCAAATTAAAGACTTTTCTTAACAAGATTAGTTAATATAAAGACTTTATTTTATACAGTCGACACTATCTCATGTTGCTTTTAAGCCACTTGGCACCAATACAGCATATGTTCTGCCAGTTCTGAGCTAATCTCCAGGAAAGCCTTTGTATAATGATCGAAGAAACTGAAACACATCCGTGCCGAAGATTTTTAACGGCCTACTTGAGCGTATGTTTTTAACAAACAGTTAATTTATTCTAAAATATCTACTTCGTTTGTTAACCTGCCTTTATAATTTACATACATCATTTAACAATAAAAAAGTAATACAACTGAGAATGCAGGTCCAACTTGAGCATTAGGGATAACCCCAAAGCGTTACAGATCACTGGATCTGCAACACGTTTCACCTGAGATCGCAGTCTCGCCGCGGATGTCAAGTGGAAATTACGATCCCGGTGGCTGCACTGCTTTAAACATTTCCTACGGTTTCAACTACTGCAAGATTAACTTCCCATCCTAAACGGTTTCTTACTGTTATTATTGAAACAGCTGTCAGCTGGGCTTCGGTAACCTCTTTGTACAGCCTTTCATTCCACGCTTTGGGATCCTCAAGGATGCGTCATCCCATATTACTCCCCAAAATGAGACCTAAAAACCTGACGTGCTGGAAGGGTCTCTGAACATCATTCGAAGGGGCACTAGAAAGACGATGACAAGGACTGAGTGCCCAATGCGGCAGCGACAGCTTACTCCGGCATTTAGGGCAGAACTGCGGCGTGGCCGCTCTCCTTTCCCCCGAGACTAGAGCAGCAATTTCCCCTCCTCGCTTCCATCCGCCTCTTCCAGGAGCCCGGGGACCTCCGACGCTCGCGGCCCCGGTGGTCGGCGGCGGCGGCGCGCGCAGCGGGCCG